CTGCAAAAAAGTAATTCTTATTTTCAAATATTATTATACCAAATTTTATTTAAATACTTTAATATTTTAAAAAAGTAAATCAAAGCCAAAAAAATACAATTATGCAGGCAAATTTGTTTGCAAAAGTCTACAATCTAAGGGATAGGTTCTTAAATTATTATATCTTATTAAATATGACAAATATCAGTATTTCAAACATCTTTGATAAAAAAGCTAAATTGCAAAAACTTATTAATAATAGACCAGAATATGATATGAAATATGTCAACTCATATATTCTGAATTATTATAATATTAATGATTATCAACAATTCTTTAAAGAACTCTTTGAGACTAAAAAACAATATGATACTTTATCAGTTATTTAGCCTAATAAAACTTCATAGCAATAGGAACTCAAAGTTTGAATTCCTTTACAAAAGCTAGCCTCTGAGAGAAAGAGGAGTGTTTACTATATATATGCTCTATTTCTAGTATTCGGTAAAGATAAATTTATAGATTATGATTACTACTGACCTAGAATTCATAAAACTCATATGGCAATTTGTCTCAATTGTATGAAGCTTATTCAGATTAATGATATAAAGCTAAAAAAAAAATTTCATCACACTAGAGGTAGATATGTAGAAATTCTTGAACCTAAAAACCTGATGCAAAAATATTGGAATTATGATTGTAATAAACCAAAAACTAGAGATAGTTCAGCAAAAATTATTCAAAATGTTTAGAGTTGATTTTAAGAAAGAAAGTCATCAAATGCATTACTCGCTTGAAACTGCTTAGCAAATTATAATACTCTGAATAATAAGAAATTTCTAGGTTTAACCTAACATAAAGTAAAAAATTCTTAAACTTGAAAACAATTTAATCAATAATATACTAAATAGATTGAATTATATAAAAACAATCCTATGATGCACAGTTCTATTATTAATAGACAATATAAAGAATATTATATTTCAGATAATTAGATAGAATGCAAAAAGAATCAATTGCAGATTAAATTTCAAAAGTAACTTTTAAAGATAGAAGCATAGTATTTATTTGATTTATTAATTCTTTGTGGGTACAAAATACCTATACTATTTATATAATATTTTTTGGCTAGATTAGTTCTACTGATACTCTTAAAGACATAAATAGGTAGTTGTTTATTATTTTCCTAGAAACAGAGCCTTATTGCTTTGCAATAATATTATTCTTGAGATTACAATTGAGAAATATATTATGAAATTTCTAGAATAGAAAATAACAATGCAAAATAAAAATCTATGAAGTAGGTTTAGCAGATAATATATTTTTTATCTTGTACTTTTGCTGTAACTCTATCTTTTTTTGCAAATTTAATGATATATCGAATCTTAACTGAATTACCAATGGATCTTCCTCAGGTCTATCTAAATCAAATACAATGAACTCACCTTTTTGTAAATAGCTGTTAATAATCATAGATGCATTTTTTACATCAACAGTATATTGACAAATATTTTTTGAAATATCTTCATATAAGCTACCAAGTTAAATAATATTAAGTAACTGAAATATTCATGAATAATAAGTAGAATTTTATGATAGATAAATCTAATATTTTCATAATATGGAGCTCTTGAATTACTTGCAATTAATTTATATATATATCTAACAAATGCCTATTTTGGCTCATTAGGATGATATCTATATATAATTAAATCATCACAAGAAATATATCTTCTTCCATCTTTTTTCTTTTATATATGCACTCACCTTTATTACCCAAAACAAGATTTGCAACTAAATTAGTCTTACCTGATCTGCTTTTTCTACTAACTATTATTTTGAAGGGCTATGTAGGACTAACTAGATGAGTTTGACAATAAGATGCAATATGCTTATTAGCTTTGTTCATATCCATAAGAAATAGTTTTATTTTTTGCATATTGGTATAAAAATATATAGTTCCACTATTATAATTAAATCAGAAGTATTATATCTTTATATATATCATTATTTTTGTTTTTTATTTTTTTCTGTCTAATAAACATAATCTATATAGTAGCAATAATTAATAAAGCAAATAAAAGCAAAGCAAACATTAGAGATCCCAATATACTTATTACAAGAATTATTTCTACTAAAATTTCTGATTGCAATTCAATCAGAGAAGGAAAATCAGCTGGAAGAAAAGGTGTCATATTTTTTATCTGTGGTAGCTCTATTTTTCTTGAGATTGAAATATATTATCCTTATCAGTTTTACTAATATTAGTTTCAGATGCTTTATTATTCTTACTCTGTAAGTCACTTATCTTGAATTCTTTTATACTTTTTCTATTTACAAAATATTGGGCAAAATTATTATAACTCGAAGAGTCACCTTTAAAAAGTCTGCAAAGTAATGGTTATTCCTTGTTCTGCATATTTTTTTTTGTCACCTTCAGTAATCACAGATCTTGGCTATACTAATTCTGCTAATGTAGTATCTGATTTTAATCATTTAAGCTTATTGATTTTTGAAGCCAATTTACTCTTTATATGCTCTAGTTTAGCTTTAAAAGACATAATCTCAGAATCTTTTTTTGATAAATTTTTCTAAATCGAAAATGCATCTTTTTGGACTAATGCTAACTTATTCTCTAATATCTTAATTATAGCCTGAGATGATTTTATTTCTTTTAATTAGATATTATACCTGGCTTTATACTCATCACAAGAAATTTGTAATTGAGTAATCTAAGATGTAAGGTTAGTATTGTTCACTTTTAATCATTTAACCTTTTCTATAAGTTGATAAATATTCTTGGAAAGGTCCTTTTTCTCTTTATTGAATTGTTTTAGATTACTTTGTATATACTTATTGTCTTTATCCAAGACAGAATATTTATTGGCAAGTTGATTGCCACACTCTATAGCAATTTCTCGATCTTAATTTGCACAAGCAAGCTGGTTTTCAAGTTCTACTCAATTAGGCAAATATTAACTAGATGATATATCACTTAAACTTGAAGAGCCATTGCTTCACAATAATTTACTGCCTTTATCTATATCTAATAATGTATAAATTTAAAACATATGTGTTTTAATACTAGCTTTATTATTATATTAATGAAATAGACATAATATATTAAATAGAATATATATATTTATTAATATGCTAATTTTAATATATTAGATATAATATATGTATTAAATAAATAATATAATTTTATATATTTGATGTATTCAATTTTTTTGATATATTTTATATTTTTTATTTTTTTAATATATTTTATTAGATAAAAAAACAAAGTAATTACACTTATTACTATGGTTAGAGTACATATAAAATCTGATGCACCTTTGTTTTTAGCTGAAGATTATTCATATATAATGCAATGTTGTGATATAAAGCCAAGATACAAAATTTTAAAAGAATTATTAGATAAATATAAAACATTGTTAAAATGGATTTATCAGATCTGGAGAAAAGAAAAAGCTAATAAAGTTACTTAAGATCAACCTATACCTTAATCATATAAAATAATAATATATATAGCTACAAAGTACCAGACTTCAGCAATAATTCATCTAATATAAATAGCTTAAAGCTAGCCTCTCAACTAATGTGAATCACTTTGAAGTTTTATCAGATAAATTAGCAGAGATGGGACAACCAAAGATTCAAAGCTCTAGTTCCTTATATGCAGTAAAAAAAAGTACTTCTTTTATAGATAATATATTAAGAAAAAAGAATGATCTTGAAAAAATTAATAAAAAATACTAAAAGATTAGCTTCTATTCTTTCATCTTTGTCTTAGTAAGTTGAGAACATCTTTCTGCAAGAACTTTACCTGCATTTAGAGCAATATAAAGCCACTCTTTAGTTTTTATAAGTTGCTTTTCAAGCTCTTTGTACTTTTTTTTAAGTCATTCTTACTAGTCAGGCTAAAGGAAATTTGGGCTGAATTATTCAAAGAAGATTTCTGAGGAACTATCTTCTGCTCTTCTTTTGGCAGATTCTTAGCTACTGGAGCTTTGTTATATATTGAAATAACATAGATCTTTCTATGTAACTTTATGCGAAACTGGTTTTTATTTGGTTCAATGATGCCTTGAAGCTTTCAAATATTTGATATACCTAAAAATAGCATTAGTTCAGGTTCACCATTATCAATACAAACAAAATTTTTAATAATTATGACAGTCTTGTTTTCTTTATCTTTCAGAATAACTGACACATCTGTATACCATCCTAATAAATTGGTAATATGTTTGGAATTTCTCTTTATAGCAAAATCAGATGGCTCATCAATCTTTTATTCAAGTGCATGAATTGCTGAATCATTTATTCTACCAAATTCATTACCAGTATCTAAGAAAGAATCAGGAATTATTAGATTATTTATATTACAATGCAAGTATTATAAAGATGAAAACCACTTATTTAAATTTTTTGACTCCTTCTCCAGAGCCTTTCAGAACAAGCACATTTTTCAGATTGGTAGTAAAAACTTAGACAATAGCTGATTATATGTTTTAGGCTGGTTATTTTTTATTGGTACCTGTTTTTTTTTCAGATGAATCATACACAGTCTATCTATTATTTTCTTTATCATAACTATCTTCCTCATTATTTGAACCTGGGAATGTGTTTTGGAAATTTATAGGTGTAAGAGGCTTAAAATAAGCAGACCAATTGAAATTAGATTATGCTATCTGTCTATTGGAACAACTACCTTTGCTATAATCTGTTTCTTTATAAATGTCACATTTACATATATTTATTTTTTGAAATTGATTAGTTAATTGATTTACTGTATTACAAGTTTCATTTATTTCCTCTTCTACTCTATTAATTCTAGCAAAAACATTGCTTTGCTGTGAGTAAAATCTTTGAAAAGGTTTTATAGGATAATTTCTTTCTAAATCTTCTGTACTAAATATACCTAAATTATTTAAGAATTGTGATAAGTGATAATTTCTTATACCTTCTTCTGTTTGTAATAAAGATGATGGACCTCTTGGCTGTTTAACTGGTTCAACAGTTTGGGAAGCAGTTTGCTTAGCCATTTGAGATTTTAATTCTGTAACTTTCTTTACTGTCTGGTTTTCAGTTTTTTGTTACACTAGTGTATTTTGGATTGCTTTTGCATATCTTTTAAAGAAATTTCTTGCTGTTGAGGAGCTAAAACAGATAAGGGTTTATATATTTCTTGAGATGCTTATTGAGATATTAGCAGATTAGATATTTTATCTCTTTTATATCTAGCAATTTGTTGTAACTCTATTTTATAAAGCTTTTTAGCTAATTTATCTAATGACAAATGTTCACTAATATTCTTAGCTTTTTCAAGTTATGGAATAGGAAGGGCATCCAAGAACTTATTATATAATTCATCAGGCCTATAGTTAGTTTGTCTACCTATTTATAACAATTTTCTATATAATTTATTTATAGTCATATTTCCTTTTTTAATTGTTCTATATTGCAAATCCTAAAGCATCTCTTCTACTGTAGGAAAATGTGTTTTTAGCCACTATATGGCTTGACTGAAATGAATGCCAGTTACAACTACTATAGTACCATTATTAGCATTTGGTATATTAACAGCAATATTAGTATAATAACTACCTTTTTATGAAAAAAAAATATTAAAATTATTGTGATTATTATTTAAATTTTTCAGTATAAAATTCCATACAAAATTATATAGAATTAACTGTGAATTCTGTATTACTTGATACAGAATATTTATATGAAAACCTTTTTATTAATGATTTAAATATTATATATTTTATTAAGTTTTATATATAATAAATATAATTAAAGATAAGTTTTGTATAAATTTTGTATATAATAAATATATTTAAAATTAAATCTTGAGAGTATGACGACTTAGTGAAGTAGATAAGTTAGCATACTCCCAAGTAGTAGGTTGTGAGTTCAAAACCCACCAATGATAAAATTTGGATAATCACCTATGTAATATATAGACAGTATTACAGCAACAGCATTCTGTCGATCAGTTGGGATAGGATACTTGTAACTATGATCACACTAGCATAACTGACAGGTCTGGGGCATTTGTGTAACCAGTTACACAGAGAAATACAAACTAGTACCAAGTGATGCAAACCTAAAATAAGTCCTTGGGTTATGTAAATCTGTAGAACTAGGAAGCCAGAGCTTACTTGGAAATTCTAAGCAGAAAGATAATACAGATCTTTAATAGTACTACTGTAAAAGCTAAACCTAAAAAATAGATACCAATATGAAGAATTCAAGTAGGCAAAAACCTTGGTTAAGGGATACTACTAACCAGACTGCCAGATTTCAGACCAGAGGAAAAGAATATTGGGTTAGCCTCAATATACCAAGAACAGATTACAGTTCTTTCAGACTATCTGAATTGGAAGTCTGGGTTCAAAGTAGAGGTATACTAAAAGTACTAGGGATATACTATAAAGTTAGTACTAGGGTCTGAATGAACTCTGTAAGAATAATCTGTATTAGTATTCTAAAAATAGATAGATAGTTAACAACAGAGGGCCCTCTGCATCTTACTGACAGGTATTGTACTCTGAAATATATAACAGCCTGGGAACTAATACAAAAAGAATAAATAACCATACTGTTCAAACAGTATACTAGTTAAATATATACAGAGGATAAGCTAGGATTCCAATATAACAGAGTGAATGATCAGAGAGTTTAAATAAATAATCACTTAGTAGATTATAGGTACAGCATCTAGTATAAAACCTTAGACAGACTACTTAAATAGGCAACTAAAAGTTGCATATATAACTAGCTGTACTCTCATCTTTGTAAAAATAGTTGTAATAGCTAACCCATTGTAAGTTAATAAAGTATTACTACAAGTATGGCCTTTAAAAAATAAAAATAAAAAAAAATAAAAAAATTAAATCTTGTATGAATTCTGTATATAATAAATATAGTTAGAGATAAGTCTTGTATGAATTCTATATATAATAAATATAATTGAAGATAAATCTTGTATAAATTTCATATATAATAAATATATTTAAAATTAAATCTTGTA